GAAATTTGAATGGCCATGTAGAATTTTGCTAGATATACCATTGGAAGACAATGACAAGTTAACAAACAAAGTGGAGGAATTTTGCTAGATAAAATAACAAACATACATATATTCAAGCATTTTATCTCTTACATTGAATTACAAAAACCAAACTACAACCGAGAAGCACATGCCTAATATCTAGTATTTTAAGTAAAAATACACCATAAATCAAAGCAATGAAAATTATAAAAACCAAACAAATGACTTGACTGATCACCATAGCTTTTGAGCATTTCCTCTCCACCTTCTTCACTTCCTTCTCCAAAACTCTTACCTTTCTATCCATTAATCCACTGTTCCTTCAATTGCACATTTTCTTGCAACAATTTCCCATTTTCAATCAACAATTATCCATTTTCCAACACAAGCTCATCTTTTTCTTGCATTATTTTCTCTTTATCTTTAACAACTTTGCATTCTTTATCTTTCAAAATCAACAGCAACTTCATTGCTCTACCCTTGATCCTTTCCTCACTAGCTAGGAAATGGAAGTAATTACAAGGATCCTACATAAAATCTTGCAAACAAAATAACCAATTGAGAAAAACCTAAACCATTGACAAAAAAAAAAAAAAAAAGAGAGAGAAAGAGAAATTATATGATTACCTTCTTCTCAGGACAACATCAAAACCTCTTACCCTTGTTTTGGAAAGTAAACAAATTTCGAATAACAACATTCAATCCACAGTTGCATCTATATTCTTCACTTCTGTACTTTGTAAATTCTGCCTTGCTTCCACTCTTAACATGTGATATCCCAGTCCTTATTTGCAATAGCTAAAGAAAATAGGTCCAAATTTGCATTAAGTCTAAAGTTAGAGTTCTTTATCTCATCTAGAATTAGGGACTAATCTATAATAATTGTAATTATGGGATTTTCATATTATTTTAATAAACTGTAGACCAGCTGTCTATTTTAAGGAGAGTACTGCAATCCAGTTGTTTATAACTTGTTGGGATAAATGCCAAGTGGTTGGATGAGAAGTTGGGCAAGTGGGGGAGCATTTAAGACCCACTTGATAGGAGGTTTGGGATTATCTCATTAAATTAGTTCATTTTTCCTCTACCTAGACCAAAGGAGAAGGATAAGGATAGTGCAGCTAAGCTAGGTAGATTTGGGAAATATTGAAGAATTTTGCTAAGCTCAAGATTTTGAAGAAAGTGTGTGGTAAGTGTGATTCTTAATTTTAAGTTAGTTTGTCAACAAGTTTAAAGGTAAATAAAACAATAGAATAAATATAAGAAATTTAGGTGATGCGATTTAAGTTATATAACAAGGGAGAGAAATAAACACAAAAGTAAGAAGAACTATAATTTTCATGTGCTAAAGCTGTGAAATTTCTATATATAAATGAGTTCAAGTTTTGGAATTAATATTTTGTGTATCACATTTTCTAGATTATGTCCTACGTAATTGACTTGGGAACTACATCACAATCTATTTCTATTAGCTCTATAAACCATATTAAGTAAACATTAAATCTATTATACATGATTATGTGCTATATGTGGATATTGTGATGTAACTGTCTTAGAACTATGAAGAGTTTGAACCCCAACCTAAGCTAGGGGGATTGAATAGTGAACTAGTGGATCTTTGTGCAATAGGTAAGTGCTATGATTAGCTCTAGTACCTAATGTGAGTGCATGCACATTCAGTGAACTCCATAGTTTGTGTTATTCCTACTTGATGTGCTATGTTTTTGTGGTCATTTTGTGGTTGAAATTGACCTAATTTTTAATAAGGCTAGCACAATTGGGAATTTAAGGAATTTTCTACGTAAGATACTAAGATTAGATTTTCAGTTTAACTTAAGATTAAAAATTATGCTTACTAGGCTGTGAACTCATGATGTTATTCCCACTCTTTTAGATGGTAGAAGTGAAAAGTAGCTATTATTCTTAAGAATTTTTGTGGGTGGAGATCCTATACTAACTGTAAGCTGTGCTTCGAAAAATGAGTAAGGCAAATCTATATCTGCCAAAACTTCCATTTGGCTCTAAAATTTTTAGTCTATTTTGTACTGTTATTGAGCTTGGGAATAGTATATAAAATGAGCCTTTTTATTCTATAGCCATTTTCTACTTTTTTTTTATTTTTGATCTTGTACAGGACATTTCCTACTTGATAAACCTTTAGTTATCAGAAAGGGATGTTACACAACATGTCCAATTGATGAACCTGAACCCATACTTCATGTAGAACCACCTTCCATATTATGATTCTCACAAACCCAAAATCTAAAAGACAAATAAATAAAGAAGAAGGAATCAAAGATGTAGAGGATTTAGGGTTCAAGGGAAGAAGAAGGAATCAAAGATGCAGATGATTTGAGGTTTGAAGAAGAAGGAATCAAGAGCTGCAAAGGATTGAGGGTTTGAAGAAGAAGGAATCAAAAGGTGCAGAGGATTTAGGGTTCAAGGGGAAAAGGAAAGAGAAAGAGTGAAGTAGATTTTTGGCAGAAGATTTAGGGTTCGAAGAAGAAGGAATCAAAAGGTGTAGAGGATTTAGGGTTCAAGGGGAAAAGGAAAGAGAAAGAGTGAAGTTGATTTTGGAAGAGGAGTCTGCATCAAGAAAAACAAAGATAATGACATGTGTACCCCACTGGTTTATTGAGAAGGCGAGAGAGGCAAGAATGAGACGTGGAACACAATTATTGCCATGTCATTAATTGAGTGTAGTGTTTTTTCCACATAAGCTTGTAAAAATTAAAAGAGTTAATTTATGGAGACTTAACGTGCTAGATATGCACTTCCGTCGACGGAAGGACCATTTTGGTTATGGAAAAATATACTTTATAGATGATTTGAGTGCTTTTTGAAGTTAAAGGATGAACTAAGTTCATAAATGAAAGTTGAGGACCAAACTGGGTATTTAACCAGGTTCGAATTTTAAGAGAGTTTCACCAAATGGGCCAGCCGGTGGGGCTCCTCAACCTCAACTGGGCAAATACTTAATAGGCTTTTTGAGTTCTATTTGACCCAAGTTTGGGCCATGCCCACCTGACTTTTGAATCCAAATTAATGGGCCGAAGTTCATTAAACAAAACCCAAATCACCTCACCATTACCAGGACTCATGTTCAACGGTCATCGTTGCATCATTGTCTTCCTCTAGATGCTTTGATTGACTTCAAACCTATGCAAAGACAAAAAATACTCACTTTAATTTAATCTACAACAACTACTACCTCAATAAAAAAAATTTTGAAAAATCAACCAAGCCACAGAAGTACACCTACCAAAACTCATGGTTTGACATTTTTATTGGGTTTTTTTAATATCTATTTTAAAATATATATAAATGATATATTTATTATATTTTATTATTATCAATATATATTAAAAATAAAAATTAATATTAATTTTATTAATAATTTGATTTAAAATACCCATATAATATAAGAGTTAAAATTAATATTATATTTTTATTGTTTTGACATAAATTAATGTATAAAAAACATATTTAAAATATTCTTAACATGTTTCATAATAATATAGATTAAAAAAATCTTTTTTTGGTGGGAGTGGTTGGACATAAACCTTATCTCTACCAAGAGTGAAAATTGAAAGGTTTATGAAATTTTATATGTAAGTATACCAAGCATATCCTTCGATAAAATTTCTTAAAAAAATTTTAAATTGCACATTGACAAACACCCTCAAATAAATTTAATCAAACATGCATTTTTCTTGCGGGAAGAAACTGCAACCAAAAAGTAAGACTGCTAATTTATCTTTGTCAATGGGTAGGCTTGCTTGCGGCACTCAAAACCATTGTTGTCAAAATTTAGATTTAAATTTTAAAATCTAGATTAAAATCTTAAAATCTTACGATTTGACGATTTCAGCAAGACATTTTATATAAAATCTATACTAAAATCTGAAATTTATAAAATCTAGATTTTACCGTGAAATCAGGTAAAATCTCAATTTTACCGTGAAATCAAGTAAAATCTCGATTTTACCTTTTGTTTGGCGGTTGGACTTTAGCTTATTTTCTTTCGACTTTCTCATTTTGGGTTAGTGAGTTTTGACTAGATAATCCATAAATTAAGCTCATTTTTCATTTTAAAAGCCCACAACCCACACAACCCAACCACAAATCAACATTTTAATCGAGAATTCGGGATAAATTTGATTTAACTATCTAAAATTCTAAATTTAAGTCATCTTCTTCGTTTAATTTATTTGTGTTGTTGGATATTTAGATTTTAATTAGCTAATTTTAAGTTTTTAACTCTAAATTTGATTTATTATTATTTAATTTTGATTTTATATAATTTATTATATATTATAAATTAAATTTTATAAAATCTCAATTTTAACGATTCGATTTTACGATTCCAATTTCACCTAACTAAAACGATTTTAGATACAATCTCGATTTTGACAACCTTGCTCAAAACGGTTAAATTTGCAGCACTCAAGCGCTTCAAAAGTGGAGGGCAATGATCTCCGTTTAATTTTTTTTTTTATAAATCTGCTTTAAGAAATAATAAATATTTTTTAAATCATGCCAACGGATCTAAGTACTTTATCTTTAAACCTTAGTATGTTTGTGTTAGATGATCAATATTTTGAGTTCTGTCAATATTTTAAAAATTCTTCATTTCTCAATTTTTTAAAATTGTAAACCGTTCAAAATAAATAAATAAATATTTTTAATTTTATTTTAAATTAAAAATTTAAATATAATTTTAATTAAATAAAATGATATTAAAGCTCCATTGTTTTCAAAAATGAAACTAATATATAATATTCTCTAACAAAAATGTGTAAATAATAGTAATGAATTAACATAAAAAAGATTTTTGAAGGAAAGTTAGAATAATTTTAATTGCAATTCTAACAATTCATAACATGATATCTTAATTTTTATTTTTTTAAAGGAAAATTTTTATTGTATAAAATTTTTATATAATTTTATATATCATTTAACAATTAAATATTTTCATCTTATTATTACATTTATAATATTATAATATCATATGTATTAACATTTTATAATAGTAGAAATTATAAGTAAAAGTTATGCAAACATCTTGTGAATATATAGTTTAAAAAATACATATATATATATAGTTTGTCTAAACTGTATTTTAAGAATATATAATAAAACAACACTCCGCTTCAGCCCAGTGATATTGGACCCTGGGTCAGGGCTATTCACCTCCGATGAATTGCACATTCGAATCCCACGAAAATCCTTTCCCCCATTCCCTAATTAACCCTGTAAAAAATTACAAATTGTTCAAAAATATATATATAATAAAAATATATTAAATATATTTTTTATTATAAATTTATATTAAAAAATAAAAATAAATATTAATTTATTAATTATCTAATTAAATTCATATGACATTAAAATTAATATCAATTTTTATATTTTCCATATATATTTCCATTAAAAAAATATTCAATACGCCCTTAATCTATAAATTAAGAATATTAGAAAAATCCATATATATATATATATACGGTACATAAATATTCAATAACAGCACTCGATTCCAACCCGTGTCACAATTTCATTTGCTTTCATTGGCTGCCCATTACGCGAACTCCATGAAATCTCCAAAATACCCTCGTGACTGTTAGATTAGGTTTCCCTCGCACAGCATGTATTAAAAAACCAATCTTCCCTCCTACCGCGACCATTCAGCTCCTTTCACATGGATCGCCTACTTCCACCCCTCTTCCTCCTCGCCCTCCTGCTTGGCTCCGTCGTTTCGACGGAAACTGTCGGCGGAGAGGACCTCGATCCATTGATCAGGCAGGTGACAGACGGCGATGGTGAGATCGAGCCGCTTCTCCTAAACGCGGAGCACCACTTCTCGCTCTTCAAAAGACGGTTCGGGAAATCGTACGCCTCGCAGGAGGAGCACGATTATAGGTTTAAGGTTTTCAAGAGAAATCTGCGACGGGCGTCGCGTCATCAGAAGCTTGACCCCTCGGCTCGTCACGGTGTCACGCAGTTCTCCGACTTGACTTCGAAGGAGTTCAGGAGCACTTATTTAGGTTTAAGGAATCTGAGGCTGCCTAAAGATGCTAACCAGGCGCCCATTTTGCCGACGGATAGTTTGCCTGAGGATTTTGATTGGAGAGAGAAAGGAGCTGTTTCCGCTGTCAAAAATCAGGTATCTCAAGATTTGCTTTTTTTTTTTTTTTTAATTTGTGATCCTTTTGTTCATAAGTCGATTTCGATTTGTTTGCTTCATAGGGTGCTTGTGGATCTTGCTGGTCTTTCAGCACCACGGGAGCCCTGGAAGGTGCTCATTTCCTTGCAACCGGAGAACTCGTGAGCCTTAGCGAGCAACAGCTCGTGGATTGCGATCACGAGGTTCGATCATTAACCCTTTTTTTTTTTTTTTTTTAATTAATGATCATTAGCTCACTTTTTTTAACATTGTTTTATGCTTTCTATATTCGCTTATTGGTATTGCCAATTTTGAATTAGAGTGGTGCCTTGATATGGATGAAGAATTGCAGTCCGATTTCGTTCTTTTTGTATTTTTTGCGTCAGTTCTTTATTTCGAACGCTTAATTGTGCTAGCATGTTGCTGAAGCAAGCAAGTCTAGGGGTTGAAAATTACCAATAGGTTTTTTAGTGTGTGAAGTTGTGAAACCATTGTCAAATAATCTGATTAGGAAATGTTAACATTAAATGAGGCAAAAAGGGGAATCTCAAGTATCTTTGTATGGCTGATAAATACATGTATGATGGACGTTTACATCTGATGGAGGAAATGGTGGGTCATTTTTCAGAAGTTTGTTATTGTAAGTGTGAAAATATCATTATATTTTCTGAAATTGTGATTTAGGAAATGTAAACATAAACAGGGCAAGAAAGAAATGTCAATTATTTTTTACCATCAGCCTTAGAAATACGTGGATGATGGCTGTCTACATTTGATGAAGATGATTGTGGCTTCTTGTATACAAATATTCGTAGCTTTTTTCGGCCTCAACATAGTTTCTTAGTTGAGTTTGTACGTTCTCTTGCAGTGTGACCCAGAGGAACCAGGTTTGTGTGATTCTGGTTGCAATGGTGGGCTGATGAATAGTGCTTTTGAGTACACTCTTAAAGCCGGTGGACTTATGCGAGAGGAGGACTACCCTTACACTGGTACCGATCGTGGGACCTGCAAATTTGAAAAGTCTAAGATTGCTGCATCAGTGGCCAACTTCAGCGTAGTCTCACTGGATGAAGATCAAATTGCTGCCAATCTTGTGAAGAATGGTCCTCTTGCAGGTAAATAAATATACAATTCAACTTCATATTTACTATTCCTATATACCATCTTAGTGCCGAGGCACATGTTGACTTTTTAAAGAAATATCATACTTGATACCACTCAAAGGTTTATGCCAACGGTGGACTATTTTTTTTTTCTTTTCTTTTCCCGCCCAACGGAGGAAGATTTGATTAACCTCTTTTTTTTTTTTGGGTCATGAATGCAGTGGCAATCAATGCAGTGTTTATGCAGACATACATTGGAGGAGTTTCATGCCCATATATTTGCTCAAGGCGCCTGGATCATGGGGTATTGTTGGTAGGTTATGGTTCAGCTGGCTATGTTCCTGTCAGAATGAAGGACAAGCCATATTGGATCATCAAGAACTCATGGGGAGAGAACTGGGGAGAGAATGGATTCTACAAAATCTGCAGGGGTCGAAATATTTGTGGAGTAGACTCCATGGTATCCACTGTTGCTGCTGTGGTGTGATCTAATTATTGTTAAGTATTCGTAGTTTCTGTATATGATGCATGTGAAAATTGTAATTCCCAGAACACTAGGTTGGGATTCCTTGTGGGCTAGTGATAAAGCAGTTTGAAAGATTCTTTGTTGTGTTACGAGTCTATTTGATGTTTATGTTCAAGTTCTCTAGTTTTCTTGGCATGCTTTGAAATGATATAGAATTAGTACTTAGAGCATGTACAATGGAAGTTTCTTTAATTGCTCCTCTTAAAAGAGAACATTTAAAGGGAACAAAGATGGGATACTTTATTATTGGAGTTATGTTCTAAAACCAAGCTTGTCCTTCAGAGAGAACAAGCTCAATTTCTTTATTTTAAAGTTAAAAATGCTGCATTTTTTGTTGCAGCTCGCTGTAGCGCCTGACAGCGTGTGATAATTCGGTACTAGAATGAGTTTTTTCATTGTTCGTATTGTACACGCTTTTATGTTTTGAGGACATAATTTATTAATTTAATGGTGCTTTTTTCCCAGGTATGAAATGGTTGGAAACTGATGGAATGGTAGGGTCGTTGGTAAGCGGTTAAAAAATTAGAAATATGGCCTAATCATCGAAGGAAGTAGTTAGGTTTCATCTTCAAAAGAGGCTCAACTTCATGGCCACACTGGGCTTGGTAAAAATGAAACAGAAGTTTATGGACCGATTAGACATAACTGGGCCTGGTGAAGAAATAAGGACAATCCTCTGGGCCGGACTTGTCTTAATCGAGATTCGAGAAAATAAGTTGGGCTCCATCTAGAAATGATTCACAGATATTTGGGTTGTAGTAGGCCTTGGCCTCAAGGTCGGTTTACTTGGTCAAGAAATGTTGCCTAACATCAGGGCCATACTAGGCCACAGATGGAAGTACAAATCTTGCCAACACGCAGCAGGTATTCCGACCCAACCCACAACCAACTACACATTGCAAGGCTCGGTCGGCCGAAGCTTTTTATGCTACTGACATATAAAAACAATCCAAATCTTCGTAACAGGGACGATCTGCACTGCAGCATCATAGAGTTATATAAACTCATTCAAGCCAGTAATAGTAATACAATCAGCTTCTTCATCTTGCGCGAGAAGTGTAGTAAATAAAAATCAACAGCAGAAACCCAACTGCAATATTGCTTTTATTTTATTGATAAATAGAAGTTTAATCAATTAAACAAGTTTCTATTAAATAAATGCTATCACATTTCTTAAGGCACTGCCCAAATCAATAATGATCTAAGGTTCCAATATCTAACCATCGGATTTGAAGCAAAAGGGACGGTGGCCAAATTGACGAAACCTACCTTGAGACCCCTACAAAGGGCGCCCATCTGGGTGGCCTTCTCTTCACATTCAAAAGAAATAAATATTCGACACTTTCACCTCTATCCACATCCAATTCAGTCAACTCAAACCATTCGATTCAGTGCATCATTCATTTTCATCATTAAGTGATGCAAATGAAAATGGATAGAACTTGTAACCGTCTCCCTCGTAGAATTTGTTTTGGAATTCAACCCAGTGAAGACGCAGAGCATGTAGGAAAGCACTTAGGGTTTCCATTACCAACAACACCCCAACGGTTGCAAAAATGAAGACAATGATGCCAACAATAAGGATAATTACATTGTTAAACCTGTGGAAACCAGAAACTAATTGTCATTATGGCTGCTCTATACATGACTTAGTAGAAAGCATTGGGAGAAAAAAGAACCATAATTGGAGTCAAGTAATCACAGCCATCAGGCTTCTTTTTTTTTGGGGGGGAACAATGATTGATAAACCCTCCAATTTAACACACTTCACAACACACTCATTAAAAAATTATTATTTTTAAATTTAAATTAAATGTGGAAAAACTAAAAACTGCAAATTTTAATAGCTAAACCGGTGGGTGTTGTAGAGTGTATTGAACCGAACTGTGTGTCAGTCATTTTTTTTTTCCTATCCTTTTCTCTTTTTTCCTTTGCCCTCGCAGCCCTCCCAAGTCCAAAAAACACTTTAAATGAGTAAATAAGAGAAAATTTAGAATGTATAAAACATACCCCCAAGCAAGGAGGAGAACCTTCTCATAGAACACGCTAGACAATTCTGAATGAGCAAGGCTGCAGAAAGTTAAAACAAACAAGGAGCAATTGTTTAGCATTTACTAGTAAGAGTACAAGATAATTGTACAACCAAAACTATGAAGAAAGATAAATGACTACAGACTATTGTGTGTAACAAGTGAAGATGCAATGCATTCCCTGTGGAGAAGACTCAAACTTCAACCAAAAGGAAAATGTTAAAACATTGTGTCATTTGAAGTTTTGAACCAGGACAAAGATAAAATCAAGCAGATTGTAATATCTATCAACAAACCTGAGGGCCCACAATCTAAGGTATGAAGCTGTATTTGAAACAGCTCCAAGCACAAACTCTATGGTGTGTATAAGTTGATGCACAAAAACTTCACTGAACTCAAATTCCTCATGACCATGGGAATCATGATTTGCCTCCACTTGAAGACTCTCTTCTGTGCTTTGAAGTGGAGTGTATGATTGGCCTTGGTGCCTCTAAAGAAACACATTAATTAGAAATAGAAGAAAGAGGAACAGAAGTTATGCTTACAAGTCTTTAATCATAAATAACAAAAGCAGTGTGGCATACCTCATGTTGGTTTTTCAGAAGAAAAGGCTTCGGTAACAGCATCCATGGTACAGAAACAAGGGCCAGTAATACTAGCACAATCTGCAAGGGCACGCACAAGATTGATGAAATAATGCACAAATATTCTATTCATGACAATTTTGAAATTAATAGGATGAGTAAAACCTGAACCATCTTTTGGTGAGGAAAAAGCTGATTTTCACCCAAATCATCAGTAGGACTCAGGAACATGTATATCAATATGTGGTATAGATCAGCTTGTGAACCAGTGCACCACTTCACAATGATGAGAAGTGACAGATAGCCAAACAGACTGTTTAGAAATATCATCTGGGGAATAAATTGAAACCTGGAGAAATAAACATTGAAAGGCTACCTTGTTAGTTAGAGATATTTGACAGAACTGAAAAATTCAGCAAGCTAAGTACCAAATCAGCATATGAAACTTACCAGACATTAAGACTGTTCCTGAAGAATTTTGCATTGAAATAACTCAAAATGATTCCAAGGTTCATTTGAGCCACCCCAAGAAGGATTGACATCTTCATCTTCAGAGAGTTCAGAAATGGCAGCTCGCTCCGAGTACCATGCCATGCAGGATCCAGCCCAAATGGGTAAGTGTCACGCACCTTAATCAAACCAATGGTAGAAGCGTCCCTGCAATGCAATGGGAAGCAACTGTCATAAAGAGCTACTACTGAAACATAGAAACTTTCACAACATTAGATATCCCAAATCTAAATACCTGCAGGAGAGATCACGGCACACATATGCTGTGGGGCCAAATAATTCAAATGGCACAGAGAAAAACTCATTATAGATCAAACCAGTATAAATTGAGAAAAGTGACATCAACAAAATAACATAACGACCACCAAATGCCATTTCTGTGATGTCTCCGAGCTTCTGCAGTTTCCAAGAATTATCAATCAATTAAGTTCATTGACAAAGACAAATGAAAATTAGGAGTAAATAATACAGACAAGACTGAGAAATTTCCTACTTAGCAAAGGTAACCACTCAGAACAGAAACCCAATAGCAGTAAGGCCATCACTTTTTAACATATAATTCCAAATATATAACATATCAAATGTTCACTGTATGCATCTAAATGGTATTGTGAAATATTTGGCTAAAAATAGCAAAGATGCACTAAATTTGTCACATCTGTTGCTAACTAAATGACTAAATCCACTATGCTGAACAAAGAGGCAAATATCATCTGGTTCTTGTTAAAAGCACATTACCCAAATAAAAAGGGAACACTATAATATGTCCCACCTAACAATCATATATGGAAGTGTGGATGACAGTGACAAGAAGATTTGCAATGCAAGAACCAAGAAATCCAGATAAACTGATAAAGAAAATTCAGGAACATATATAATCTCAAATTACTTTGTATATCAGAACATAAAAATAGCTAAAATGACATTACCTGACTTGAGAGTTTCTTTTCCTTGACTATAAAAAATAATGTCACAATTAACAAGCATATTCCATGCCCCCAATCACCAAACATGACAGCAAAAAGGAAGGGGAATGTAACAATAGTGAATACACCAGGATTTGCCTCTTGATACTTTGCCACCCTGCAACCACATGTGAAAGCATTTCACTTCACTTAATTACTGGAAAAAGGGACAAACAAACAGGAAGGCTGAACAGACTTGAGTAACTTGCGAATGTATATATCACTGGATGGCTCACCACTCACATTAATATAAAAAGTAACAACATACACAAGGTATTCTCTTTTTAGCCTTCAAAATGAATTGTACTAGAAGTTGCTGGTGGAATTTCAATATCCTCCAAGTTTACAATTATAACTTATTTCCCATTAGTTTGAAATGAAGTAATTATATTGCAGATTTAAATAGCTGAAGAAGGAGGAGAAAAATAGATGCATTATCTCATTAGAATGATTTTAACAAATTACCTAAAGATATGCACATGATCCCTATATAATGAAACACCACAAATCTGTTTATGAAATATAACAATGGAGCAAAAAATTAGCCAACTTATAAGTTTTAATCAATTTGTTCATTTTTCACAGTTAAACTAGGCATACTCATGAATTACCTTTGAGAAATATATATTTTCTTAACAAATAAAATACCAGTGATAAGAATCTCAGAGGGACCTACCCATATGCGTCAACAATTTCTTGAAAAGGAGAAGTGAATTTATTTGTGCGGAAGTATGTGGGTGGTGACTCCTTTGTATGCAAAACCTGGAAAATTGATCCAACTTGTGAGTTGGAGTCACATGCAGCCCGATGCAATGCGTCCTGAATCTGCAATAACAAGGTACAATTTTCTTATGATATTTGTGAGAAACAGTTTTTGACTGGTAGATCATTAATCACATGAAAAAATAATAATACCTGTTTTGAGGCAAAAACAGGACTCCATCCCTCAGCTACTAGACATTTTTTTGTGACATCAAGACTAAGCATGTTAAGAGTGTGATAGATTGATTTCTCCTTCCTAACCTTCAGGTGTTGAAAAAGATTCAGAATACTAACTGAATATAAGAACTAAAACATAACATTCATGCAATGAATTCATGCAGCTGCACCTCATGGACCAGAGAAATATACAAGTGATAACATATGATTCACTGGAAATCTGAAAAGTAAATACTCAATAAGATAATTTTTAAGGTTCAACAGACCGTAAGATTCCATTGCTCAAATTGGTCACTGATTGTACGCAACAAGTTTTCATGGTGAATCAACCCAGCATCTATGGTAGTTTTCAGCTCTGCAAGTTTTCCAGAAACCTGAAATTTTTATGGCCAGGGATATTAAAGCCATCAACATACACAAACAGATTACATGCAATTTGTGGGACAGATGGCAATCAGATAATGGGATAAGTAAAATATAAAACAACTATGGAAGCACAAAATTAGGACAGATGCATATAAACCTTAAAGAAGGCAAAGTTTCATATAACAAGAAGAAATGGAGCATGTAATCTGAATATGTAAAATTTAAGAAGCTATCTCAATATGTTCTAAGCAATGCCAACAAACAATAAGCAATAGTCTGCTAAGCCTTGCAGAAGCAGAAGAGGGAAATGAAAACATTTTCAAACAAGAACAGAATGCATACCTCTGTTATCATCTGAGCCTGTTTGCCCAAGTCCTCTGCAATTGAATAACGATTTGCCCCAAAAGCTTCACATATCTTCAGAATTTTGTTCTTTGCTCTTTCCCCAGAATAGAATACCACAAAGACGTTTTTCTCCATCTGCATGTTAAGAAAGACATTTAATACAGAGCATAATACACAAGTAGATAGTAGAAGATCATCTCTAATTCATAAAATTGAAGTGGATAAACAACTAACATAATCACAACCAACATGGACTATATGATAAATCAAAGACCAAGAGCATAATTTTCACATAGAACTAGAAAAGCAGACAAATCAATAAAACATCTGCTTCATGAAAGAAGTCAACACATTTGCATTACATTGACAAATCCATGCACACAAGGATGCTAGCAGTCATACCTTGAGATTAACACTCTTAGAAATTTCCATAAAACATTCTGGAGGTATTATCAACCCTTGTATGTTTGTCCATGCAAATGTATTTCTTGACTCATTGATAATGTGCAACAGAACGCAATTTCTAATATATAATCCACACCTCTCTTCTTCCTAGAAATATTTAATCAGTATGAAGAAAATTATACCTTCTCTCCAGACACAGGATCTATGAGAGTTTCATCCACAGGAGCCTGTTTAAGAAACACATTACCCCTGGTTGCACGAAATATAATCCTCTCAAATGCCATAGATTTTTCCCTAGGAACAAGGCCAGTGAGAAATCCCAACTTTACTTGCTTTGACTGATCAGTCAGGGCATCCTACAAGACAGTGATGAGATTCTCATGAGTAAAAGCACAATGGTATAGCCAAAAGTTTGTCAATTGAAAGAAAGATCATATCATGCCTGATCCTTTAATAGAGGAGTTTCTATGGATTCTTCAAACGCTTGGTGTGATTCCATTTCTCTCTGCCGAGCTGTGGCACTGCGTTGAGCTGAAGTGAAAAACTCACCATCCTAGAACAAATGGAATAGCATCTTGTTATGCTGACTGTTAAACATTACAAATTTTAATGAAATGAAGAGTTAACAAGTAAATCTGTATCCTGTTGAGAAGATACATCAGACAATGAAATTAATTGTACATTTAGAAAACAAATAACAAAATCCAACATTTTAATCCAGCTTTATTAAAAGAAACCAAAAAACCCAACAAGTGATGTAAAGACTTCCTGAGGTATATGTACATGTGTCTGTAGACAGATGTTTAAATGTTCTATTTATTTGATGCACCTGAAATGTAACATATAAAAGGTACTTCAATAAATCTACATGATCAAATAACTTTAGAATCTATACAAGCAAATGTAAAATACAAAAAAAATTCTCCAGTCTACTTAAATAGGAAGCACCAAGTTTTGTTAATCCTGCTGGATTCAAATGCTTAATAGCAGTTGTCAGGTGGCCGTCAGTTAATGCAGAAAGCCACCAAACTACCTGAATAAGTTTTCCATTTATTAATTTGAAAAAACATGTTATAGTGCCTTAATATTCTTTTATCCAATGAGAGTCATACTAAAAAGTCTATCCCACTTTTTACACTGTGCCTTAGTAAAGGAAAGTTCCATCCCTCTTAACTTAAATTCCTCCTATTTCAGCACAGAGATTTTAGCAAGTACATCAGAATATGCGGTGTTCCTTTTAGCACATGATGAAAATATCACATTTTGGCAAGAACCAATGCAAAGAGACACCTCTAACAGCAACCAGAACCATACCTTGTGCAAAACAAGCTTATATTCAATTAGCTCATTATAACTCTGCTGCAATTTCTCACCATTCACATTCATTTCAGTCAGCTCTGCCTCAAGTTCTCCAAGTTTTATCTAACACATCAAAGAACAAAAATGAGCTTAAAATTTTTAGATAAAACACTCTAGGGGCTAGGCAACCAATTAATGTACCTCTAGGTCATCCACATCAATCTTATTTCCCATTACAGGCTTCGCTGAAGCAGAGAAACCTGCCTTCAACAATTGTTCCTTGAAGAAATTCAGCTTACGTGCCATCTCGCCACATTTTTTAATCTTCAAGAGACAGATGCATTAATATGGTGGCAAAATATAATATTGAAAAAGGTAGATTATGAAATTAGAAAAAAAAAAAAAAAGAATAACTTCTTGAGTAGCTCCAAGAAAAAAAGATTCATTGCAATTTGCCAATATAACAATCTTTTAAATTTCACGATTCAGTAAAGCTAGGTTAACTCTTCCAGTACTTGATTGAAACCTTTCAAGTACTAGTTCATATAATATGATTCTGATCTCTCAAAAAATCATACAGTCAGTGTCATAGTAGAGAAGCTAAGAAGCATGTACCTGAGTAGCATACGTACGCTGAAAAGGACTCTTCCCTGCATTGAGCTGCCAAACATCAAAAAATTCGGTTACATACCATCCTCAAATCCCAACCAACCTTCAATCACATCAATCAGAGGGACAAAAATGAAGAAAAGAAATATCAAATTAATCATCTTTCAATCAGTATTCCACCAAATTCAGGATTGATAACCTAGATTATCGGTAACCAAACCGCACCTCACCCAAACCTAGGACATAATTGAAGAGAAACCAAATTGAAAACGCGATCTCTGCAAAACAATATCCTGGCGAAAAAATACAAGTCTAGGGATTGTGAACCACAATCCAGACTGAATGCACTTCAAAGAGAGTAAACAGACAGAAATTCTACTCAAAATTCAGATTTGGAACAGAGTGATAGTGTTCAACACAATTCAATTTAGCAATCAGCGGGAAAAAAACAGCGCAGTCAAAAGAGAGTTTGATAAGTACGTACGTCTTTGAATTGCAGGAGGCCGAGGTCGCCGAGATAAGAGACGGTGAGGTAAGCGGACTCAATAGGGATGATGACCTGCACCAATTGCATAGATTCTGAGCGGAGCAGATCCATCGGCGGACAGCATCCTCGTCGACGCCTGTCTCCCATTTTGAAACCGTCAGTCGGTTCGATTCTCAGTTCTCCGTCTAACTACGACGAGGACGAGAGCGAGCTCGTCGAGAGAGATTGATCTTTGGAGTGTTTGCTGTGTTTCTCAGATGAGAAGTAGAAATGGCGCCCGCAAACACAAACGGAAGGCAGTGAAGGGGGAGAAAACCAGTGAAGGTGCAGATATGTTTTCCTTCTTTAGCGCCACGAGCGTACACGTAGGCACATTTTTATTATATTGACAAAACTTAAAAATAAGGACACAAGCTGTCATTAAGGTTGTGTTTGGATTTTAATTTATAATTGATAAAATAATTCACATTAGTTTAAAATTAATTTATAAGTTGATATTTTTAAATA